AGTCTATCAATTTTCTCAAAAATAAATTATTTTATATGCAAAAGATAAAGAGTTCATAAAGATGCAGCTTGATGAGTTAGTGCAAAGTGAATATGCTTAATCAAGATTAAAACATAAGGAACACTCTAGAAGAATGCTCCATGTACTACTTCTTTCAGTCCTCCCATAGACATAATTTTGAATATGCAGTTTCTGAGCTACATAAACATAATTGTGTAACAAAACTTATTTCTGTCTGCAGTCTTTTAAATTTAATCTTCAGCATCATTTCTATAACAAAAATCATATTTTTCAACTAATAATCCTTCCATTTCCAAACTTTCGTGTTTCAGTCTCCAATAATTATCAGTGCATCTTGAATGTGTGTTTCATAAATTTTAGACTGAAAAGTTTGGTAGAATTCTTCAATGTCATCATCACTGATTTTAGTGGTTGATGCATACATTTGAATAATAGTGGTATTAATTGGTCTTTCTTGTAAGTGTATGGATATTATCTGATCACAGACTGCACTGTACTTCAAAATGGATCTTAAATTTTCTTTTCAACTATGAACGCAATGCCATTCCTCTTGAATTTGTCATTCCCAGTTTAGTAAGCCTTACGATCTTCTGTTCCAAAATGGCCGGTACTGGTTCATTTCAGCTCACCAATGCCTGGAATATCAATCTTTAGGCACTCCATTTCATGTTTGACAACTTCCAGTTTTCCTTGATTCAGACTACTTACATTCCATGCTTCAGTTATTAATGATATTTTCAGCTGTTTCTCCTCATTTTGAGTTGTGCCTTGTCAGCAGATGAAGGCCCTGAAAGCTTTGCTCCATTCACTTCATTTTGGTCCACTGTACTTTGAGGGGGCAGCTCTTCCCACTCATTTTGAGTGCCTTCCAATAAGATAGTATCATCTTCCAGCACTATATGTGATAATGTTCTGCTATTATTAATAATGTTTCCATCTTCTGGTACTATACCTGACAGTATTCCACTGCTATTCATATGTTTTTCAGTTACTAACCAATCAGAAGTACTCTGCGACTCCTTCCTAGTCTGCCTTAGTCTGAAAACTCCACTGAAACCAGTTCAACATCAGTGACCCTGCAGGGATTTAAAACACTGGTAACATAGTTTCCAGTATCACAATGCTATGTAAACCACCACAGTGACAAATTGACAGTTGTGTAAGATACCACCAGTTCTGCAAAATACTTATACTGACTTACACTCCCACAAATAATGTGAGAGTTCCAACTGTTACTTATCCATGGTAACAGTATTTTCTGTCCTTCAAGTTTTAGCCATTATGGTTGTATATATTTAGAATCTCATTATGAGATCTAATTGTTCTTCCTTAATAAATTAATGAAATTGATCAATCAGATTTATA